GGCTCTGGAGGCTGCCTGGGCTCACCTCGCAGTTTGCTCCTCTGTCGTGGTGGTGGTAGCTGCTGCTGCTAAATGCACCTTCCTCAGAGGAAGGTTGCCAGACCTCCGTGTGTATGTGTTTGTGTGCGTGGGCACACGCACCTGTGGGGAGTTCCACCTCCTTTAAAAAAATTTATGTTGTGCCCTCCTCCCTCCGCTAGGCGGTCGCTGGCGCTCCCTCCCTTCTCCGCTGCTTCATCCTGCTGCTGCTGCTGCTGCTGGTAGTAGTGAAGAAGGAGCTGGAGGGGGTCGTAGCCAGAGACTAGGGCTCCGATACATACGAATCAGAAGAAATGTCACAGAAAAACTTCATTATGTCCAACCACAAAAATAATTCATAACAATTAAAACATTGGAGGTCTAGTATTAATAACAGTGTTTTATAATTTGTCTACAAAGTAACATTACCATTGAACCAACCCAGACCAAAAAGTTACGAACAGAGACAAACAAAAAAATAAATCGCAGTTTGTGATGGTTCATGGCTACATACAAATTCCCCAGAATAACAAACTAATTTATGGTTCATTTTTCCAGTTCGTGCCTGAGGAAAGGGGAACCTACCACCTCCACCCCGTCTGCTGCCCACTTGCCCCCTAGTTACGAGCCGTTCACCTGTCTGTAAGCTCCATGGGGCACAGTTCTGCTGGCATCTTCCACCTCCCCTCACCCCCTCTTTTGAATGTTTCATCCATAAAATGTGCAACCAAGGCACTACATAAATAACATTCTACTCCAATAACAAAATGCAAGATGCTTTTCATGAATGTATCCAACGCTTATCATGAGGTTCTCTGCTCCAACAATTAAAGTGAATTAAGGTTTGTTAATGCCCAGAGGCCAGCCAAGTGTGAATAATCCCCCCAAAACTCATGACGGCTGGTCTTCTTGGCACTAGCGGGGTCTTAACTGGAGCAATTTGTCTGGTTTGGGTCACCGAGTTCTAAGGAGAGAACAGCGGGGCAGGGTGGTGGTGGAGAGAGCAAGCAAAGACAACTGAAGGCTTTGAAAGATTAAGGAAACGACAAAAAGAAATGGTCATTTCACACTCCCAAAATGTCCGAGTAAGGAATACAGGAGAAGAGTTCCAATAATCTGTGAAACACAGCCAAAACAACTATGAAGTAGGGAAAGGCTGGTGCCTCGGGCAGTAGAAGCTGGGGGGTGACTGCAGTCCCCCTAACCCAGCTTTTTTAAAAAATCAGTCCCAAATGGAAAGAAACTGGAGCGAATTCAGAGGAGGGCAACAAGGATGATCAGGAGACTGAAAACCAAGCCCTGTGAGGAAAGACTGCAAGAACTGGGCCTTTTTAGCCTTGAGAAATGAAGACTGGGTGGAGATAGGAGAGCACATTTCAGAGACTTGAAAGGTAGTCCTACAGAGGAGGGGCAGGATCTGTTCTCGATCATCCCAGAGTGCAAGACATGTAACAGTGGGATCAAGCTACAGGACGCCAGATTTAGGCAGGATATCAGGGAAAATCCTGATGTTGGGAAAGTGTGAGGGCAAGAGGAGAAGGAGACGACAGAGGACGAGATGGTTGGAGAGTGTCATTGAAGCAACCAACATGAATTTGACCCAACTCCGGGAGGCCGTGGAAGACAGGAGGCCCTGTCATGCTCTGGTCCATTGGGGTCACAAAGAGTCGGACACGACTTAACGACTAAACAACAATCAGGGAAAACATTCAAAGTGTTAGAGTGGTATGAAGATGGAACCCATGATAATACGAGGCAGCGAGCACTCCAACACTGGAGGCATTCAAGAGAATATTGGGCAACCACCTGGCAAATCTGCTTCAATTTGGATTCCTGGCTTGTGCAGGGGCTTGGACCCGATGGTCTGATAGGTCCCTTCCAACTCCATGATTCCATGATTCTATGAAATGAGGCTACATAAGGAGCTCCTCCTGGTTCCATGCCGAAAAATGGATGAGGATGAGACATGCAGGAACCCAGAAGATACAACGACGTTTTATTTCTGGCCTTGGGTTCATTCTTTTAGTTCTCGATGGTCTGAGAATGAGACATGCAGGAACCCAGAAGATACGACAACGTTTTCTTTCTGGCCTTGGGTTCATTCTTTTAGTTCTGGTCTTCACCCTACAAGAAGAGAGAGAAGGAGACTTAGAAGAGAGTGGATCATTATCATCATCGTTTTAGAACTGCAGAGCTGGAAGAGACCCTATAAATCATTGACTCCAGGCCTCGTCAAGGAGCTACAAAGGGGAATTGAACCCCCAACCTTTTGCTCCGTAGCCAGAGACCTAAACTATTGAGCTACCCAGCCGTTGATAGGATATTATGAATTTATGCTTGATCTGTCTACTATTTGTCTGAAATAAAATGCCCGCTTAAAGCAGAGGTGGAGACCCTGTAACCCTCTAGATGGCCTGGATTTCAACTCCTCCCAAGCCCCAGCTAGCAGGACCAACAGTAAGGGATTAGGGAAACTGAAGCCCTAAATCTCTGGAAAGCTAAGGTTTCTGCACCTCCATGCTAAAGCCAGTTCTGTACATGGGGTGGTTACTGTGAAAATGGTTGGGGGGAAAAGCACAATATGCTGCTCCATCTCAGGCAGTGAAACAATCCAGGCCAAAAGCACTAAACAAGAACATTAGGGTGGATAACTTCATCTCACAAGACTCACCTGTAGCCTTTCTGGGAGTAGCACTATTTCAATAGCTGTCCTAGATATTCAACTATCCCACAAACTGCACCAGAGCACGGACAGAGTTCCTACTCCAGTCCTCTGAAGATGCCGGCCACAGAGACTGGTGAAACGTTAGAAAGAACAACCTTCAGAACATGGCCAAAGAGCCTGAAAAACCTACAACAACCATTCAGCTACCTTCTTCTATGCCTCATGGTGCAGTGGTTAAACTGCATTACTGCACTCAAGGCTCTGCTCTTGAACTGAACTGAGTTTGATCCCAGTAGGCTCACATAACTGGCTCAAGCCTTCCATCCTTCTGATGGTGGTAAATTTATATGTAAACTGCATAGTTAGATATTAAATCACCCAGAGGGAGCTTTGAGCACCATGGGGTGGTATATCTTTTGCTTTGCTTTTCTAAGGAGTGTTTCCTTACACCAGATCAACCTCTTTGCCCAAACTCTTTCAAACTCCCTGCTACCTGATCCTTCTGACTGAAGACACCAGAAATTAAGCCTAGGGTCTTGTTCATGCAGAGGGACGTGGTGGCGCTGTGGGTTAAACTGCAGAAGCCTCTGTGCTGCAAGGTCAGAAGACCTGCAGTCATAAGATTGAATCCACGCGACGGAGTGAGCCCCCGTCGCTTGTCCCAGCTCCCGCCAACACAGCGGTTTGAAAGCATGCAAAATGCAAAATGCAAGTAGATAAACAGGTACCACCATGGTGGGAAGGTAACAGCGTTCCGTGTCTAGTCACGCTGGCCACGTAACCATGGAGGATTGTCTGTGGACAAATGCTAGCTCTATGGGTTGGAAATGGAGATGAGCACCTGGGAATTGTTATGAGGAAAAGAATATGCAGCTTTACCATCCTCTCAGCCAGGAATACCATGTACCTTAAGGAGGAGGAGCATGTTTAGTGTTGCATGTCAAGCAGTGAACCATGTTGGACCAAGCCCAAATGGGCCTTTACATTCCTGACTGTGTACTTCAAATCTGGAACCACTGTCACCTTCACGCACCTGTAACACAAAGACTCCGATAGAAAGAGCATCTTTTGGGCAGAGAACAAAGATAGCTTTTTTTTTCTTCAGAAGAAGAATGGAAACTGGTTCCATTGGCACATATTTACCTATACAAAGATGGGCACTGCCTTGCTCTTGTGGGATACCTTCCCCCGATCCCTTTGGCTAGAGGAGACAGGGAAGACGTCTGCAGATCTCCCAGGCCCTGAGGGGCTTTGTCATCCCACCGTGCACTGTCTTCCAAAAAGCTGTCGGGTCTCCCATGTTTCCTTGCAAAGTAAGATTGCACCACCCTTCGGAGTTTCCAAACCCCTCTTGCCACCAAGGCCGAAATCTTTCCCACCAGGCAGGGAGCCAAGAGCAGCCGCCGAATCTGCTTTAAAAATCTGCTGCAGCTAAATGGAGCCCGACCAGGGTCGTCGGTCTCCGCCTGGGATGTTGTATGTGCATCATGAGCTGAGAGGGTGGGAGCTGGCTTGTCAAATTGCCTTGACGTAATTGGAAACACATGTCTGTGCATTCCCCTCCTCCTCCACCACCACCTCCTCCTCCTCCTCCCTGGCCCTTCAGGCTTGGGGAAAAAAAGTTCCCTTTTCCTTCTTTGCAGCTCGGAATCTTAAAAAGAACCTTTGCATGCCAGCAAACACCATGCTGGGCGAACTCACAGGCCTCCCGAGCATCTTCTGCCTTCTGCTCTTCTTACCTGTCTCAACCGGTTCCTGTCCCAGCCGTTGCCTGTGTTTTAGGACCACCGTCCGATGTATGCATTTGGTCCTCGAAGCTGTTCCAGAAGTCCCACCTCAGACAAACGTCCTGTAAGTATCCGTTTTCTTTGGGACCCCCTTGTTGTCCTCGGTTACCTGATCACACTGCATGTGTAGGATGGTTAAATATCTGGTCTGGTGAAGTGCACGGAAAGCTAGACTTTGGATCTGTCAAGCCTGGGGTCAAGTCCGCCGTCTGCCACCAACTCACCGCATGAGCTTGTGCAGAATGCTTTCTCTTAACTTTGTCCTTTGGGTGCTGAAGGATTGGTGATAGTTGTTGTGGGTTTTTCGGGCTCTTTGGCCATGATCTGAAGGTTGTTCTTCCTGATGTTTCACCAGTCTCTGTGGACAGCATCTTCAGAGGACAGGAGCAGGAACTCTGTCCATGCTCTGTGACTGGTGATACCTTGCAGATTTATTGTGGTAGCAAAATAAAAACCATTCAACATTCAGAGGCATTTTGCAAATTGGAAGTGCTTAGCCGTGCTCTCTGGAAAGGAAATATATACTATGATTCAGGGCATACAATATTCAATCCTCAAAGAAAAAATTGTTTGTACCAAGGTGACCAAGAAAGGAATATTATTGATATAGAACCACTCAGGGGCACAGAACCCTAGAAGAATTTTCAAATGATTAAGGGGAATAGAGAAACAGAGGCCCTTGGCACCAGAAAGCTTGGAAAGAATCATTTGACATGGGGAAAGGACTCCCCCATAATGAGGGAAGAATTATTTGCACATGTAGTTTTATCTACACTGAGATTTTATTGAAGATAGGACATGAAGATGCAGGGCGTGAAACGAAAGCTCTGTGAGAAAGGGTAGCGTTGGAGGATAAACTGTTAAATATCAGTAGATGTCTGGGACAGATCTTTATGCAACCGGGAAGGGGAAATGTGATTTATTTCTTCAGGGAATTCGTTTCTTACTAAGTCATTAGGATATCACATGTGCTACTTAAATTCACTCACCTGCTTGGCGGGTAGGAATTAAACCTCATCAAGACAACTAGACCAGAGATGTCAATTAGAGGCTTTCCTGTCTCCCTTTGCTTTTCTTGGAGCTGAGTATATCAACAGGGGTTGTAGAGGTGTTGACTCAACACCCTCCCATTCATTCAATGGTCTGTTCTAGCTGAGTCTAACAACTAAAGGGAGCCTTTGGTGTTCACACATTTGCCATATATACAAGTTCTTTAACTCCAAAAGCAAATACATGTGTGTTTTCTAACTTCATCCTATCTTCTCTTTAATCTTTTTAATTGCAAGCTGAGACTGGGAGATGAGGAGAGAAGAACACAGTCACTTCCCCCCCCCCCCCCCGAGGTCCTCTTGCTGCCACTTTTTCCAAGTCATCTTGATTGGTTAGAATCAAGTCAAGAAGAGCTACTCCTATAGAGGTTTCTTCCTCTACTTTTTTCAGGAGAAAATTATCAGCAATTCCAGCCAAGAAATTATCGGAAGGGCCATATTTGGCAGTATTTGCCTCCCAACAGATATCAAGACAATTGAAATTTCCCATTACTTCTACATTGTGTCTCTGAAATCCTTGCAATTTTTTTTTCAAGGGTTTAATCTGCATCTTCTCTTGATTGGGTGCTCGGTAGTAAACTCCAACCACCACGTTCCTTTCGTTTTTCACCCCTATTAGATTAATTCAAATCCTCTCAATGGACCAACCATGCTCATCAATCCTGTAATTCTATGCAAAAAGATGTACTTTTGACATATAGTGTGACTCCCCTCCCCTTTCTATTCCTTTTGTTCTTTTTGAACAATTTAAAAAACTCAAAACAATTAGCCAGTTTTAATAAACTCAGAGCAATGATATGTAAGGTCCCATGGCAGGAGAGACTAGCAGGGAAAGGAGCCCAAGATGAGTGTGAGTTCCTTAAAAAGGAAATTCTAAAGACACAACTATAAATAATTCCAACAAGGAAAAAAAAAGATGGAAGATAGGGGGAGAGGGGGAACTACTGTGGCATCACAAAAATCTCAGGGAGGACCTAATAAATTTTTAAAAGGACACACATAGGAAGTGAAAAGAAGGCCAGGCCACAAAGGAAGAGTACAGACATATAGCAAAGAATTGCAGGGAAAGCGTTAGAAAGGCAAAAGCTGAGAATGAGCTGAGGTTAGCAAGAGGCACTAAAAGCAACAAAAAAAATCTACAGAAGACAGAGAAAAGAAATATTGGCTCAGTTACTCAGCAGGGATGGCAAAATAATAACAGAAAGAAAGGTCTTTCCCAAAAGACAATCTATGATCCTCTTGGCAAATGTGAAGTACAAATGGAGGGGACAGGATTGCTGTTTAAGATTGATAGACAAATTGTCAAGTACTTTGAACAAGTTCAGATCTCTAGGGGCCAATGAACTGTATCCAAGGGTATTGAAGGAACTGGCTGAAGAAAACTCAGAACCATTGCCTGTTGTTTTCTTGAAATCATGGAGAATGGGTGAAGTGCCAGATGACTGGAGGAGTCATCTGTCTTCTGAAAACTATCCTGATATCAATCCCACCGAAAATTCTCGAGCTGATAATAAAGTCGTCACTTTGCAAGCACCTTGAAAATGCTGCAGGTATCCTCCCTGGTAGATGGTGGGAATGCTGTAGACATAATATATCTTGTCTTCAATACGGCTTTTGACAAAGTGGGCTGGATCAAACAGGGGGACACACACTTGGTGTACTCAGAGTGCTGATCAATGGCTTCTCAAATTGGGAGGAGGTAATAAGTGGATTACCGCAAGTCTCAGTCTGGGGCCTGGTGCTCGTCAATATTTTTCTTAACGACTAGAGATGGGCATCAACTGCAGGTTAATCTTTTGGATGAATAAGTGTTCAGCATTTCTCAGCCCTACCTTCTTTGGTGACAGCCCACTCAGAGGCGGTGCTCAGAGGAGGCAGGGCAAGGAAGCAAGGGCACTGCCTTTGAATGAGGGTCTGCCAGAGGAGGCAGGGCTGGGAACACCACACACCTGTTCATCCAAAGGTCGAACCAGCACAAACCATAGAACCGGCAGTGCCTATCTCTATCAATGACTTGGATGAGGGAGTGTAGTGATTGTAGTATCTACGGATGACACAAAGTTGGGCAGAATAGCTAATATGATGGAAGACAATAACAAAAATGTTTATTTTTTAAGTGTATGTTGTAAGTAATGGAAGACAATAACAAAAATTCAAGAAGTTCTTGATGGATGCAAGCGCTGAGCTGAAAATAACAGAATGAAAATTATCAGGGATAAGTGGAAAGTTCTGCACCTAGAAGAAAAAAAATACACAGTTACAAGCTGAAGGATACTATGATACTATGAGCAAGAAGGATCTTGGAATTGTTGTAAATCACAAGCTGAATATGAGCCAACAGTGCAATGTGGCTGCAAAAAAGGCAAATCCAATTTTAGGCTGTGTTAACACGAATCTAGTCTCCAAATCCCATGAAGTATTATCCTGTTTCCCTGAAAATAAGACAGGGTCTTATATTAATTTTTGCTCCAAAAAACCCATTAGGGATTATTTTCAGGGGATGCTTATTTTTTTTTCATGTATAATCTACGTTCATTCAAATACAGTCACGTCATCTTCTTCTGGTTGCTGCACAATGGTGGAGGGTGGGCTTTCACTCAACTGCGGCTTATTTTTAGGGTAGGGCTTATATTACGAGCATCCTGAAAAATCATACTAGGGCTTATTTTCAGGTAAGGTCTTATTTTCAGGAAAACAGGGTAGTCCTCCTTTATTCAGTACTGGTTAGGTCTCATCTTGAGCACCTTAACAAAGATGCCAGCAAACTGCAACATGTTCAGAGGAGGGCAACAAGGGGACTGGAAATCAAACCCTAGGAGGAAAGACTGGAAGCACTAGGCATGTTTAGCCTTGAGAAAAGAAAACTTGAGAGGAGATAGGATAGCACTTTTCAAATACTTGAAAGACTGTTGTATAGAGGAGGAGCAGGATTGATCATCCCACAGTTCAGGAAACAGATCTTGGTTGAATATCAGGGGAAACCATCCCACAGTTCAGGAAACATAATATTGGGCTCACTTTACGGGAAAACAGATCTTGGTTGAATATCAGGGGAAACCTCTTAACTATTAGAACAGCATGACCATGGAGCCAGTCACCTCTGCAGCTGGTGAGCACTCCAACACTGGAAGCATTCAAGAGAAAATTGGACAGCCATCTGGCAAATATCCTTTGATTTGGATTCCTGCACTGAGCAAGGGGGTTGGGCTCTATGGCCTTATAGGCCCCTTCCTACTCCATGATTCTATGATTTCTGTGAATGCCCAATCATCCACCAGCTTGGCTGTGATTTCAGCCTGTCAAGAAGCCAACGGGAGTACAGCCAGAATAAGGGGGAAATGTTTTGCATCTGTTTTCAATGGAGAAACTGACAAAACAGAGAGAGGAAAGAAGTCACTGCAGCAAGCTGGGGCTGTGTCCGAGAATCATTAAAAGGAGAGGAGAAAAGCAGTGGGAGGAGAAAAGCACATTTCTAGCAGAGACCCACATCTGACAGAAGAAAAAATAGGTACGCTTGTTTTCAGTTCAATGAACAAAAGCTCCATAGTATAGCGGCACGCAGTCCAAATGGCCGAGCGTCTTCCATGGCGTCTGGCAGGAGGTCTTGCCAAACAATTTCTGCAGCAGCTGTCAAATGCACGTTTCAACCTACCAAACATTCCTCCACAGGCGCACGGCGTAAATGTTGCTGCAGTGTGCAAATCGGAGCTTAGAAAGGTTGTCTTGAGAGCTAACCTTGCTGAGGTCCCCTCGAATTTTGTTCTCTAATTCCGAGAGTTACAGTATGTCAGCAGCAGCAACAATAACTTGTCCAATCTTTCCTGTACGTGTCCTGCAGCATTTAATATTCTCGTAAGGTCTTGCTTGAGACTGGAACATGGTAGAATTTTCCTCATTGGAAGGTGAAATAGGATGCTGGAGGAGAACTTTACAGATATCCTGGACTGCCAGAAAGACAAACCAATAGGTCCTGGATCAAATCAAGCCTGAACTCTCTCTATCAAGACAAAAATGACAAAACTTCTCAGGAGGTGCTGCTTTGGGCACATCATGAGAAGGCAGGATTATCTGGAAAGGATAATAATGTGGGGAAAGGTGGAAGGCAGCAGGAAAAGAGGAAGACCCAATACAAGATGGAGTGACTCCTTAAAGGAAGCCACAGGCTTGGGTCTGCAGGAGGTGAGCAGGGCTGTTGAGGGCAGGACAGTTTGTTCATAGGTTTGCCATGAGTTGGAAGCAATTTGATGGCACATAACAGCCACAGAGGTTGGAAGGCAATCTGTTGGATGCTAAAACTGCAGATTTCTTGTTTCACTAAAGAGTTGGACTCTGTGAACCTTTGAGTCCTTTCCAACCATACAAATATGTGGTTTGATGACAACAGCCTTATCATCAAAATCCAATGTGCACACTATCAAAGCTGCCTGGTCCAGAACCTTCATGTCTTCCAGTGACAATTGAAAGCATTGGTGTAGTCACAAAAAAGCTGAGGTTCAACAGGAAGCGCCAAGAGAAGGTACGAAGCATTAAAAGCCCAACAACAATTAGAGGTGTAATGGAAACCATGTAGAGGTATGGTGCCTGTTAGGTAGGTAAAGGTGGACATTATTGGGTTGTCCCCCTGCTATAATGGTTTTTTAAAGGGAAGGATTATAGCTCAGTGCTTTCATAAAGTCCCAGTTTGAACCCCAAGCATCGCTTGAAATGAGAAGGATCAGGGAATACGCAGCTACCCAGATTCTGTTGGCTACACTTCCCATCACGCGCTGACCAGATAGCCAACACTATGGGGTCAGAGGTGCTATGTTCCAACAGGATCTGAAAGGATGAATGTTTCTTCTTTCCCCCAACAAAAGGAGAATGGGAAGATAGACCAAACCTCTGTTCCTCCATCAACACGCTAGAAAGGTGTTGCGAAACCAAGCCCAACAAGGAAGGAATCAAGGAATTGAGGGTGCCTGGCCAGAAAACAGGAGCCCCACAAAGTGATATAACTGCCATTTGCTGATAATTTGCAGGGGTGTCATGTAGAATGGGACATGGTAGTGCTGCGGGTTAAACAGCATAAGCCTCTGTGCTGCAAGGTCGGAAGACCAACCGTCATAAGATCGAATCCACACAACAGAGGGAGCTCCTGTCACTTGTTCCAGCTCCTGCCAATATAGTAATTTGAAAGCATGTAAATGCAAGTTGATAAATAGGTACCGCCGCGGTGGGAAGGTAACAACAGCATTCCATGTCTAGTCGCACTGGCCACGTGACCATGGAAACTGTCTATGGACAAACACTGTCTCTGCGGCTTGGAAATGGGGATGAGCACCGCGCCCTAGAGTCAGACACGACTGGACTAAATTTCAAGGGGGAGCTTTACCTTTACCTTTACCATGTAGAAGAACAAGCTTGTGTTGTAGTGTGGTATTTGTCCCTTTCTACCATGTTTTCTCGAAAATAAGAGGGGGTCTTATATTAATTTTTGCTCCAAAAAAAACATTATACCTTATTTTCAGGGGATGTTTATTCCCCCCCCCATGTACGCCTACAAGTATTAAAATATAGTCACGCCATCTTATTCTGGTTGCTGTACAAGGGTGGAGGGTGGGGTTTCACTTCACTAGGGCTTATTTTTGGGGTAGGGCTTATATGACAAGCATCCTGAAAAATCATGCTAGGGCTTATTTTCAGGTTAGGTCTTATTCTCAGGGAAACAGAAAATAATGTCTTTTAATGAAGTAAGCCACCTTGGGAGAAAGACAGATAAAAAAATTATATCAATCAATCAATTCTGACTTATAGCGAACCTTTCCAGGGTTTTCTAGGTAGAGAACGCTCAGAAGTGGTTTACCCTTCCCTTCCTCTAGGGGGGGTTCTGGGACTGTCCAGCTTGCCCAAGGCCACCCAGGCTGGCTCTTCTTCCAGGAGGCACAGCAGGGAATTTGAACTCCCAATCTCTGGCTCCACAGCCAGAAACCTAAAGTACTGAGCAATCCAGTTACTGTAGCTAGCACCAATTTGCCACTGCAGTTTTTAACCATTGCATTTACACTGGAGTAAATAACCAATTACATTCTGGGCACTGTGTCACTTAAAGAACTCTGTTCCAGTTTGGTACAAAAAAGGAGACTCATAAGAGCAACCCTTACAGTGGTTGTTTTTGGACTGGCACATTTAACCGCCATGTTCCTGCTCTTCACAGCTGGAAACGGCTGAAGTCTTGGCTTCGTATCTGACTGACCGAACTAGTGACTCATTTAACCTCTGAAACACAGAAAGCAGGGAGGGCAAAGAGACAGATACGTCCGCTCTGAAAATATGCAGTAGATATGACAGCCGTTGCCTCTTGGCCGCAGCCTGCTCTTCTAGAGCACAGCAGCCCAGATGTGGACACAGGCAATGGCTTGCAAACTACAACAGCTGTGGTCTGTTTAGCAAGCTGTGAACCAAGTAGGTCTTTGGGCTTTGTTCCATAGGATGAGTTTTGGTTTTGAATTTGGTTGTAAGATTACCGTATTTTTCAGTGTATAAGACTATACTTTTGTCTAAAATCTTTAGACTAAAAATTGAGGGTCGTCTTATACACGGAAGTAAGCTGAGGAGAGAACAAAAACAAGTGGAGGGGAAAGCAGGTTTCAAAGCGATTCTGCAGTGCTTTTATCCCTTTCCCCTTACACTTGCTAAGCCCCACTTAGATTTCTTAATTTTGGACTAGAAAAGTGGGGGGGGGGGGGGTCTTATACATGAGGGTGTCTTATACACGGAAAAATACGGTATATGGAAAGGAACGCAGGGGAAAAGAAGGCTCTAGGGGAAATGTCTGAACGGCAGTTCACAAGTCCCATATGAGTGAAAACAAAGCATGAAAACCATTTTTCTTTCAAAGTGTCTTCTAGCATCCTTCAGCCAGTGTGAACCATGCCGAGAGGGCACTGGAAGCTTTACGTTTTGTTTCCACGTGTCTTTCTCAATGGAAATAAGCGGGTTGTTTCTTTCTCAGATAAATCAACAGGCTGTCCTGACAGACGGCAAAAGAGAAGGCTGAGAAAGGGAGAAGATTGAGGTGAATCTCTGCCTGGTGTGGCCGGGTCAATGGCATGACTGCAGGGCACATAGGAATCCACAGTATGCAAATAGATTTTTGGCGGATCAAGGACATTGTTTTCTCAGATACTGCACCCCACAGTCTCTTGTCTGTGTGGTAAACATGAATGATATCTTTATCATCTGGACTCACAGCAAGGAATTACTTGGGGGGGGGAGTCCAACACTCCATCTTAAAATCAAGTAAATTTCACCCCACTATAATCTTGAGCCTTGGTGTCTATGGTGGATTTGGCTGACGACCAGAAAAATCACCAAAGCCAACTGTAAATGGCAGAATGAATGAGCTGAAGAAGTGACACGCCTTAGACACACTGATTGTGTCTGATTTCATAAACTAAGCAGGGTCAGGGGTGGTCAATACATGTGTGGGAAAACATGGGGTGAGTGGGGGGGTACCAGGAACCTCATGGCAGAGTTGAGAGATCAGCCTCATTCTCGAGAGCCATTGCAGCGGGTCAGATTTGATAACCCTAGACTTGATGAACCAGTGATTTGATTCCCTATCATACAGCCTCCTGTGTTCCTAATCTCTCTCTTTCAGGGATCTGCGCTTCAACCGGATCAGAGACATCCACCCTGGTGCCTTCAGGAATCTGAAGAACCTCAACACACTGTAAGTGCTCCCGGACTCTTCATGTTTTATGCCTCCAAAGAGGAATTGCCGAAAGGGACCGCAAGCGACGTGATCTCAGTCTGACAGGAATAATTCTGTTGAAAATGATTTCATAGCCTCGGCTCGTGCTCAGAGTGTAGGTTGATAAACAGTATGCAGGAGGGTTTCCAGGCCAGCTTTATTTTTGGCTCTGCTCATGTAAGCAGGATCACCTGCTCCAGTGCGTTTGGACAGATCTGAATTTGTTTTGGATCGCACCGTTTTAATAGCTCATGGGCTTGGCTTCCAGATTATCTGGATCCTATTAACACTCTCCATTTCGAGGTCCTTTCGGGATACAGCAACACGCCGGTTGGGTATCTCATCACCAAACCTCCTTTCAGGAATGTCCTCCCCACATCCAGTTGGGGGAAGGAAGTTAATTGCTATAGGCTGGAGTCAGAAATCTTATCTTCTGTCAAGGATTGCACTCCCTCAGGGTTCATTTGGAAGAGGGTGCAGGCTAGAGGTCAGCGGACGGAGAACTGGTCACGATGGATCCAGAACCTAAACGAGTATGGAACACTTCTTTCTCTTTCCCTAAGTCCCTGCCTACCTCTCCTTCTCTGCCAATATCTTTTTTATATCCCCTATATTAAATATATTTTATATTTCTGCCCCTCCTCCCTATATCATATCCTAACTAGTCTGCACTCTGCTTCACAAATGGCACAGTGCACACGTGTGCACGCACGCACGCACGCACGCACGCACGCACGCGCACACACACACACACACACACACACACACACACACACACACACAGAAGAAGAACA